TTTAAAAGTCTGTTCACATAATGGATTCTTGGTACTAATAAAAAATTGATACAAATAACTGACTAGAAATGAAATCACTAAACAAAGATGCACAGGACACTTCATTTCAGGGAAAAAAAAAAACAAATAACCCTGTGTTACAAGAATAAAGGACATTTGCCATAAGGTACATTATCATATTTCCTTAAACAGGGACTATTAAAAATTTTTAAATTAAATGTTCAGGCTTAATTCTGTCTGTATATTCAGAACAATCCTATCACTGGTTACATACAATTCTCTCATCATGCAAAAAGTCCTTAGCTGTTTTCTAAAAGGTCTAATTAAATCAAATGAGCTAATAATAGTAATTTAATTATCAAGCTGTAAACCAGAGTACAGAAATTGAGCAGTTGAATTATATATTCTGCTTACAGTACTGCTGCTACTCAACTACTTTCTTCATATAATAGAACTATTAGGCATTGATAGGCAAAGAGAATTTCATTATTGCAGCAAATGACAAGAGTATTTAGAGAAAGAGTTCCTAACATTTGACAGTCTTTGTGATCCTTGTATGTATAGAAAGGAGTGGAAATAAAGACAGGTATATAAGGGGAAGATGAGACAGCTACATTAGAATTGTATTTATTGATGAAACTGATTTGAAGTCTGCCCATTGTACCAAAACAAGCAGAGCAGACATTAGTGCAAGTTTAACCTGACAATTTATTTAAGTTTTGGTGAGAAAAATTTCAGTCCTTGTAAGCACAAAGAAATTCAACAGGAATTTTGAAGGTAGTAACCAGAAAATATAACAGTAACTCCTGGAATCCTTCTCAGTCAAACAGACAAAGCACACTGAAAACAACTGTTAAAAATACTTTTCCGCCTGAGTATTTATCAACTTGTATGTCCTGTTGTTCCAATTGGCTTTTGGTAAAAAATGAAAAGCCCAACCAAGTTTTTGTAAGAGGTACTACATCTACAATGATGAAAATAAATTAGTTTCCCTCCCGCTAAAAGACATTAACTTTTAACGCATAAAAAGCTATATAATATCTCATACAAATTAACCAGTGTTCTTACAAAAGTAAAGCAGTTTTGGACTAATGACATTATACTATATTTGTGGTGAAGTATGAGGCATAAGAGTGTATGTATTCATTAGGCATTTTCAGTCTAATCAGTCTCTAAGGTTATCATTTAATTCTTGGCAATATATAATAAACTGGTATGTATTTTGGTACTTAAGTCACAAATTGTGGAGAACAAGAAGCAGTGTATCATAGTAACAGGATTTGTATTTGACAACTGCAGTGTAGAACAAAGTTCTTCTATGAACTTTGGGATTTGTTTTACCGTTGTTCACCAGTAGTACTTCATTTTATAGAAAAACCACATCTTTTATCCAATCTCCAACTGATGGGCAACTGGACTGTTTCCAACTGTGCCGCTATAAACATGGGTGCACATACATCACTGTGGTATGATTCTTTTAGTTCTTTTGGAAAGATACCCAGCAGAGGGAAGGCTGGGTCAAATGGAACCTCCAGTCCCAGCTCTATGAGGTATCTCCATATTGATTTCCATAGTGGTTGCACCAGTCTGCACTCCCACCAACAATGGAGAAGGGTTCCTTTCTCCCCACAACCCCACCAGCATTTGTTATTGGTTGATTTCTTGATAGCAGCCATTCTTTCTGGGGTGAGGTAGAATCTCAGTGTTGTTTTCTTGTGCATTTTTTGAATGACCAGTGATGTTGAACATTTTTTCATTTATTTTTTGCTGCTTTTACTTGTTTGAGAAATGTCTGTTCCTTTCAGATGACCTATAACACATTTTAATTCTTTTCTTAAATCCCTTTCTCCTCCCTTCCTTACCCATTCTGTCCATCTCTTCTCCACCATTTGCAAGAGATCTATCTCTATTTTGTACTATCTGTATTTTATTTTGCTTTTTATTATTTTGGATTTCTCATATAAAGAATTATGGAATATTTAAACTCATGTGTCTGATTTATTGTAGTGAGTATTAAGGTCTTCAAATTGCATCTATTTTCCCAGAGATAATTCTAATTTGTCTTTTTTATGCCAGAGTAGTACTCCGTGGTATGTATCAATATCATGTTTTCTTTAGCCATTCATCTGTTCAACACACAGACCACTTCTAAGATTTAGCTATTACGAATTGTGCTGCTATAAGTATAGGTATTCATGTATAACTGTAATAATCATATCTTTTGAGAAGATATGTTTCTGTTTTTAATAGCAACAATTTGGGAACGATTTAAATGTCATCAGTAAGACAATGCAATAAGATGTACTATATGCCTATGAAAATCTTAAACATAATTTTCTTTTATGATAATGTGTGAAATTCAAAGCTATTCAGATGAGAAACAGATTGCTCAGTTTTCAGCATTGTAATATAAGTGTAGAGGGAGAGTAGTAAAAACAAAATGAAGTTACTGGTAGGTAGTGCCCAATAAAGTGTATTTTAGCTAATACACTTTTCACCAAGATCATGCCTACATTTAGTATGTTTATAAACTCATACATATACTTGTGTACAAGTGTGTTTATGTATAAAATGTGACACTGAAAATACTTCTATAGCTTTATACTCATTAAAGTTGTCAAACATTTAATTTTATAATGTATTTTCCTCGGTAATAGAAATAGTCTCATTTTCCCCAGTTTTATTAATGGAATTGAGGAACCTACTTATTAGGTAGAATCTGTAAGTGAATATTTCAAAATACCTGTGTATATGAATTTAAATGCCTTTTAAAATTTTGCAGATATTTTATAGTTAAAGTACTCTAGAATTCTGCTTAAATTGTCAAATTAAATATATATTTAAATGTATAGTTTAAAAATTATATATGAATATAAAATGGTGTTGCAAAATAAAAAGATTAAAGTGGAAACACAATTCCTGCTTGTTAGGAGTCAACATTCATTACATTTCTCTGCTTCAAAATAAGTTAGTTGAATTTCTGATGTAGGAGCACTTTTAGTGTACAAATTTTAAACGTTTTTGTATTATTTTACTCTTATCAGCTCCCAATGATTTTGGATTCAGGAGACTGTATATGGGAAGATGGTCCCAAACACTTGAGTATTAAATCCTTAAAGTCTACAGACTTCAGGTATTCTCACACCAGTTCAAAAATGAGTTGCAAGTTTGAAGTCCAACCTTGGCAACTAGGCAACTTAGGGAAACTTTGTCTCAAAATTAAATGATACAAAGGCTGGAGAAGTACCTAGCACAGAGTCCGAGTTCAACCCCAGCACCTGCGTGGGAGGGGTCAGTGCTCTTTTGTAATATCCATTGCTATGTGATAGAAACTCAGAAAGTTAGTAATTATCCAAAGTTTGATGGTTTTCAGATTGTGCGTTACAGATCTCTAAACATTAAGTATTCGTAAGTGGTACCTTGGTGCACAAACTTAATTCATTCTGTTACTCTAGAAAAGATGGCCAAGTTCATGTTCATCACCATATGCAGAGTTCACAAACAACAGTACAGTCTTGCCAAATGCTTCTGTTTGTGAACCATATTGTTCACAAATAAAAGTGTTTATGAACCTGTTTACGGCATCACCATATATGTGGCATGTGGTGGGGAGGGGCAACATTACATGAAGCTTTTTATTTTGTATATATTAGGCTTCCAACCAAGGGTTTTTCTTGTTTGTTGTTTGCCAGAAAAGGTTTCAGCAGTATAAATGCTGTAGTAGGGATATTATTTTGTAACAGGGTCTAGTTACTTATTATTGTGTGGGTGTGTATTCTTATCCAGAAATTGAAGCTTATGTCTTGCAAACAGATTCAAATATAAGTATTATAATTATTATTATTATTTAGCTAAAAATTGGAAGTTCCATAATATAATTGTGAAAAATGTCGCTTAGAAATATTTACTCTGTAGGACTTTGACTGCTTCCACTTACGTAGCCGGCGATATCCTTTGGGCTTTTGCTGTTAGGGGTGGAGGAGACATCCTGCACAGGCTAAGTGAAGCCATTTGCATGCATGTAACAGTAGAAACATGGACAAGAAAATCACAGTAAAACTAAGTAAGTGAGGAATTTCTAGGCTAGAATTATTTTATTCTTTCTCTTCCTTTTTTTTAGTCCATTTGGGCAGAATAGACAATAATGGATTCCAAAATTTTCACAGTAACAATGTAAAAAAAATTATAATAAAGTGGTGAAAAATAATCTTTTCAAGTTGAATTGCTCCCATCATTTTCTTAATCCCTAGCACCTTTCGCATGGCCTGAATAAATCCACTCATAATGGAGACATTATGTGCACAAGGAATTTTTTCTCAATTTTTACTTTTTTATTGGTACATGTTTGTAGCACATAATTTTGTTACTTTTGCGTTCTCATTTTTACATGGTTAAACAGTTGACTGCCTAGAAATCTTTTTAAATTTCATTGTTGATTTATTATATTTCTTTAATTGTGTAAGGATTATAAATGAATACTCAGGTTTCTAAGTGAGATGACACCTTTCCTTAGTAAAAATTTAAATAAAGTAACCTGTGGAAAAACACATTTAAATTTCAAAAAAAGAAAAGTATGTTAAACACACATGCTCCCACAGAGAAATACACTGTGAAATTGAAAAAGAAAAAAAGTTATTGAATACATTCTAATTTTCTATGATTGCCAATGAAATGTGTCACCATGCCTATAAGTAATACCTATTTTTATATATAATGTGAAATGCTACAATTAGCTTTATAACAATACATATAATTCATATTCATTGTGAAAGTTCTGGAATTGAAAAACATTTAGAATTCAAATGGAAATTTCAGGTTACATATTTAAAAAATTAAGACATATACAAAAAATGGTAATTTTATGTCATTTGAAGAGAATCAGTTGCATTTACCTCTGCTTGCCTTTCTATTTTAAGCATTCTGGAACATTGGATTCAGATTCAGAGAATTATAGATTTTATTTTCATCTATTTCTACTGTTTCCTTGACAACTACTGTAGATGCTGCTATTACCATGGGGATGGTTCTTCTAAATGAGGCAGCAACTTCCAAAGGAGATGTTGGAAAAAGACGGAGTAAGTCTCTGTGTTGGTATTTAATTTTGTTTTATCTTATGATTCATTTAAGTCAAATAGGAAATAGAAGAAAGCCCTTTGTAAACATAAACTTCTTAAAAAGATTTCTGATTTAAAGAAGGTCAAGGTGTTCTTGTTTGTTTTTACTTTTTTCTTTTTGGATTTATGTATGAATGTACTTAAAAATGCATTTGTTCCAAACTTGGATTAGTGTGATTTTCTGTGTAATTACATAAAAGGAGAGGTGTTACCATCCTTGATAGGGATGCTCTGATCCTTTCTGCTGAAGTCATGATCTTTGTTGTATTATCCACCCTGCAGAGAAAGAGAGAGAATTAGTAGACAGAGTCTTCAGAGATTTTTCCGGTGTATAATATGTCACTTAGGCCATGAGAATTAGTATGAACCTGAAGCCTGACCCCGTTGGGTCTTCTGTGATACTCAGATACTAGTTTGTCTTCCAAGTCCCTCCAGGCTGTCTGTTATCCATATTTTTAACAGGGAGCATTACCTGATGCTGTCTTTTCTAGCAAATTTGCTTTTTGCACCCAAACACTTCCGATTTACAATTTCATGGCGTTCTAGCTTTGTTTTGAAGCAAGTTAATGCTATCCTCTGATGGGACAGTTCCTCTAAGGGTTGAGTGGAAAAATATAGCTTCCTGAAGTAACAACTTTCAGTGGCAGAAAGAATAAGTGGAAAATATCTTCTGCCTCAAGGAATATAGGTTTGGAGAAGACAGGATCTTGGAATCAATGTTTTTTGCTGCAGACCTTTACGTAATTAATATCAAGTCCCTATATGAATTTATGATTATATATCTACAAACCTATAATTAAAATTTTTCTCAATACACTTCACATTTCTGAACCCTTTTTAATAACCAAATTTATGCATAAAAAGATAATAATTTAAGGTATTTAAAATAAAAAGCCAGACATTTTCTTTTGGCGATAGTTTTGTTTTGGTTTGGGTTTTTTTCTAGAGAGGGTCTTCTTATGTAGTTCAGACCGGCCTTGAACTCACTATGTAGCCCAAGCTGGCCCGGAATTTGCTGCCATCCACCTGCTTCAGCCTCCCAGGTTCTGGGATCACAGACATGTGTGAACACACTCAGCTCTCCTCATCAGATTGTTACCTAGTATGATGTGTATGTAAATGAATCATACTGATTTCTGAATGCTTAAAACTTTATGTGATTAAATGTTTGGAAGTAAAGTACAATCAAGAGGGCCCTCTTTTTACACAGTGCTATCTATACGTTGTAAAGGAACAGTGGACCAAATGAGTACATTGCCTGGTTTATTAGTTCAGCATTGTTAAATATCATTGCATGATGTTTTCTTTGGAGTAAACAATGTGATTTTCTTGGGATTTATAAATCATGCATATGAGAACATACTCTTACTGTGTTCATAGATTTATCATAGATCCTGTCATATAAAGGTAAGAAATAGTAAGAAATATTTAGTAGTAACTTTTTTTTTTAAGTACTGGGATCGAACTCAGGTCTTTGAGCTTGCGAGGCAGGAGGCATCACTGAGCTAAATCCCCAGCTCATTTAGTAGTAACTTTTAATCTCATGACACATGTAACACTGAGTTTATAAGATCACTACTTCTGACTTGAGAGATGTTTGTATCATAACTCCTACTCTCACTAACCTCCAATTTGTGTGTTGGTGGAGCGTGCACATACACATAGGAGCAGCGAAATGTATCTTAAAATTATTCCTTTTTTATTCGGATACGGCTTCCGGTTTTGACATAGTATGCTGTTATGATGTTTAATATCGCCCAGGGCAAAGTGCCTCCATCTCACCATGGCATTTTCTCCTTATAGACTGTTATCTCATGTGGGATTGTGGGCTGCTCTGGTTCATTTGTAATCCCTAACCCCTCACTGTATTTAGTCCCTTTTATTTCCCATACAAGTACTTAGTAGAAGTCTGTGTTCCACTACATAAAATCAAATAAATCTTGTTTTACTTCACATACTTCGAGTTTCATTTCGTATTGAGCCCAATCCAGTGAGGATATTGACTGTTATCAAGGGAGTGAAAAGAATGTTTTATGTCTCTACTTAAAAATAAAGATGACATACAGGAAAAGAAGAAAGATTTGCTAAAATACTAGCTGAGGAATTAAAAAGTAAAGCATTGTGTGAGGGGTAGGGGAAAGGAAAAAATGGAAAAAAGTGTTTGTAAATGGGGGGTGGAGGGGAGTTGAAGGGAAGGGAGGGGAATGGTGAAAATATAAAAAGCTAGATGTATCGTGTAAAGGTACAAGTTTCCAGTGATAAATGTATGTGTATTGTATACCTAAGATGTACCAATAAAAGGAGTTAAGGAAAAGCAAAAGTAAAGCATTGTAGAATTAACTCTAGGTTTAGTGAGATTGTTGCCAGCAGTTGTTAATATGCAATATCTTAAGGCCTGGTTTGTGTCATGCTTGAATATTGTATAAGACTTTTTAAATATTTTTGGATTTAGTGATATTCAGAAACTCATTTTTACCTTTTTCGCCATTATTCATATGAAGTTCAACTGTGTATGAGTGTTGTTTAAAATGAAATGTCACACAGGCTTCATCTAGATGCTATTATTAAAAGCTTATGAACTCAGCGGTTCCATGGCCTGCCTTGCAAGCGCAAGGACCCGAGTTCAATCCCCGGTAAAAAGCTCATGAAGTTTCATGGTTTGTATGAAAAGTTAGGGAATGCCTCCCCTGAGGTGAATCAAGATTGACTGGCTCGTCGACCCTGTGTTGACAGTGCCGTGCATTATCTATCCCCTTCTTTTCGGGATTCTAATTAAGCCAAGTTTCAATTCTTTGCTTAAAAAATTTAAAATAATATTTCATCATTATAGAAGTGTTTAGATCTGATTTTCCTCATCTGCTTTATTTTTATTCTTTTTAAATAGAAATTTCAGATATTTTAAGTTTTTTTAGAATTATCGAAGATTAAAGGATATGAATATTGCCCAAATGTTTTATTTTTAAACAATATTTAGATATTGCCTATTGACCAATTATCCTAATATCTAATTTTATACAGCAGATTTCTAGAAAATTTATTCAGTATATTTTTTTCATTCCAAACACAGCTGCTTTTAATTGGCTCCGATTTTTAAACATTTAAATCTTATTAGCATGTTTACTAACAATGAATCTTGTTATATAACTAAATATCTAAAATACATATGCAAAGGAAATCTACTTATTACCTGTGTACTCTGGAGTGACATCTTCACAACCATAATAGGAATTCTATTTTTTTTTTTTTTTTTGAGACAGGGTCTCACTATGTAGTTAAAACTGACCTGAAACTCACATTGTAGCCCAGGCTGTTTTCAAACACCTGCCTCAGCCTTCTGAGTGCTGGGATTACAGGCGTATGCCACCACGCCTGGCTCATAATAGGAAATAGGAAATTTTAAAAATAAGTTTCCTATTGTCCTCTTTCCTGAGACAATAATTTTGATAACCTGAACCACAGCACACACTACTTTAGCCTATGCCCTTTGTTCCTTTGTAAAACAGCTGCAATGCTACTACTATTACCTACTGTTGCAGATTGGGGTTTTCTTCCTCCAGCTCTCAATGAGAGCAAATTTTCTTACTCTCCAAGCTTTTATGCCTAGCCTTCTGTACAGGAGGATGAGCTCTTTCTAGGTGACATGCGTTTACTGCAGCAATAATCTAATAACTTAAAATTATATTTCTTTCTGAATATCGTATGGCATTTGGAAAAAAATTATATTTAGAATTTTGATATACAAATTTTCCTGCTGTGATAGTTTCATAATGCAGGGGCTAATCTTGCTTGTGCTTTATTGCCTGTTTTGTTTTGCTTTGATCCCTCTGGAGCATTTTAGTGCTTGTGAGAACTATGTAAGGGAAGAAAACCACTAGACGACTTAGATCAGTCACTGTGTTATTTTCATACCCCAAATAGTACATATTCATTGAGAAGAATGTGGAAAGTAATGAATTTTACTGTGGATTATCTGGTTTGTTGTACCTGTATGTGCCATGAACTATTAAATGTAAGTATTCTGTAATTGAATGCATTTTTGAAAAAATAAACATTTGAATTGTCATTTGCATGATTTTTAGAGACTAATGGTATTTTTTCTCTTTCCAGTAATTTGCCTAGTGGGATTAGGCCTGGTGGTCTTCTTCTTCAGTTTTCTACTTTCAATATTTCGTTCCAAGTACCATGGCTATCCTTATAGGTAATATCTTTATACTAATGTGAATTTTTGTCTTTTCTAACTAACAAAATTCTATTGGTTAACATAGGAATTAAAGATTAATGTAAAGTAGCTAATTAGCCATGTGATTTTAAATTCTGTTAAGCCATTCTTTGAGCACCTACCATGTGTTAGGCATAGTAGCCTCTAAAGGAGATATAAGGTACATTGTGTTCCCAAGTAGGGTATCATTTTCGTTTTAGAGACTTAACAAAATGACTTCTAAGATCTATGTATTTCATCTAATTTTTTTCTCTTATCTATTTCTCATAACTTTTACTTCATGTGCAAGATTGTTTTTTCATGTAACCTACTCTGTCACCTTTGGAATTCTGCAGATTTCTAACTTTTTAACGAGGCTTTCTGCTGAAGTAGTAGAAGTGATGATGCATTAATGATAGAAAATAAAATTTCATGATACTTTACCTTCTTCATGTGAACAATGCACATCTTAAGAGAATGTTTCTCCATAGACCATAGGAACAGTATAATATTAGGTTTATCTGAAGGGCTAGAAGCAAAACTTACATGCAGAGGAGTTCTGACTATGGAATTATAGTTGAAGGACAAAACTCTTCAGTCTCACCTCACTGTTTTCTCCCGTGGCTAGAGATACATTTCAAATTGTTTTCTTCCCACACTCATTGAAAATAAATATGGTAAGGGAATGGAGGAGTAATGGGTATCAGATTTGAATTGTGGGGGTCATCTGCCTTAAACCTAGCCTACAGTACAAATTAATTTTTTGGTTTTTTGTTTGTTTGTTTGTTTGTTTGTTTTGAGACAGGGTCTCACTATGTAGTTGAGACTGACCTGGAACTCACTCTGTAGCCCAGGCTGGTCTCAAACTCACAGCAATCCTCCTATCTCAGCCTCCCGAGTGCTGAGATTAAAGGTATGCGCCACCACGCCCCAGCAAGTACAAATTAATTTTTAAAAACACCACTTGTGGGAACAACAAGAAAAATAAGAAAGTTAAATGAAGTCTTCAGTGTTTTCATTTTATTCTTGTTGTTAGCTGATCAATTTTCATTTTGAAATTGTAAAATGAACAAAGCAGATTAATTAATGCCCATGAAAAGATTAAGCTTTTTTACTTTTCCTTTTTTCCTACTTTGGTTCTGTCTGACTTATCTTAGTTTGATGTTCCTGTGTTCTATAATAGAATCTGTAAAGCAAAATGGAAATACTTGATATCTTTAAGCCTTTTAGCTAGATGTTTTTCAAAAGCAATATTAACTCATTCCAGTCTGTTGCACTAAAAATATGTCAAAGGAAACGTTTTTTTAACTCTTTTTATAAAAAAGATAAACTGCACTAGGAACTGTCACTAATTTCTCAGACTCTGTATTTGGTGGTCAGGAGGTGAGGAGAAGGACAGACTCCCAGTGTTCCTGGTACTACTTAGTATGTAATCGTATCTCAACCACACTTCTATGTAGGTTTTTCTCTGACATAGCAAAGTAATGGCCAGGAAAAGAGAAAAAAGTCAAATTTTATTAGTTTTTTTATAATGTTATATTTGACAGAACTATTTTTGATATAATATGAATAGTTTTCAAGTTTGTCCTTTTTTCCAAGAGGTAGTTGTCATTTAGCAATAGCCCTCAATGCTCTGGGCTTTTTAAAAAAACAGATTGAATGTATAACCTGCGGAACTTTACAGAACTTCTAGGTAGGCCTCATTCTAGATGTGCACAGTAAGCATATATGAAATAAAGGTCATCCCTGCTTAATTTATTTCAGTTTCATTTTTGGGGTGAGATTTTTTGTTTTGTTTTGTTTTGGATTTGGTATTTTTGTTTTTTTATTCATTAAGTTTATTGGTACATTTTAGGTATACAATATGATGACATTCATCGTTGAGAATTTGTACCTTTACATAACACGTCTTGATTTTTATTTGTTTCCTTATTTCCTTGCCCTACCTTCAACCCTTCCTGCTCCCTATTTACAAAGACATTCTCTGGTGTGAGAAATTGAAAGTGTAAATACGTATCAAAATGTATAATGGATAATGTGAAATAGGAAGAAAAGGTCCAAAGGGGAGCGGGGAGAGGGAGGGGTAAGGAAAAGGAAAGAAGGCAAAGGAATAAATAAGAGAAAGGATTTTTTGTCTTATTTTGTGACAAGATCTTACTGTGTAGTTTAGGGTGACCTCTAATGGGGTGACCCTCATGTCTCTGATGCCCAGGTTCTGGGATTTCAGTGTACCACCAGGCCCAGCCTATTTCACCTGTTCTATTGTGCGACAGTTACACTTCCTTGTCAGAATGAGCTTATCTTCAGCTGGCCTCATGGGCTGGAAATGCAGGTGCAGTCTGCTAGGAAAAAAATAGAGATGGAAATCATGTCCTTGCAAGAGTAGCTTGTGAATATGAAATGACATTGTTCAGGTGAAAACCAGTATAAAGCTGCCGAACAAGAGTCAGAAGAGAGCCTTGGAAAGGAGCTTGGGAAACTTAGTGAGCTGAACAGCGCAAGGTGCAGAGTGGAAGTGGAAGGCTGGCCCAGCCCAGATGTTTATTGTGCTGCTGGGTGTGTTTACCAGATTCAACAACCTAGATAGAGCTTGGCTGCTCTCTTAAGCAATTTTAGATTCAGGTAGCCAAGGGGCAATTGAGCCCCTTTAATAGAAGGTATGTTATAAAGATAAGTAGAGAAACAGGAATAGCTAAAAAGCTAGTTGCCATACAACTAAATCTCAGATTTTGCAAAGGTTCAGAAAAGTCATTTAACAGCATAAATGTATTGCTGGCATCCCACGCCCAGAAATACTAGCTTATTTACTTACCTGTTACCTCTCATTCTTCTACCAGTGCTACTACTGACAAGTTTCTCTCTACTCCTCCTTTTCAGCTAATTGATATCTTCTCTCTGCCTTTGGCTTCCATCCTGCTACCAGTTTCATGCTTTCCTTATAATTTACGAACTTTCTTTTCTAAGAAAAAGGACCTGAATGGTCATATTTGTGGCTTTCCAGTATGTGGCAGCCAAGCTAAGGAGAACTTTCCTGCCTGTCTACCTCATTGGCCCAGTTCTAGTGATCTATTTCTGTTGGACCGAAAAAAGTACTTTATAGCTTTCAGGATCCTGAGTGATTATTCTTCCACTTACATTCATGATTTTAAAAAGAATCTCTGAAAACAATGTTATTTTCTTTAGATTTTTTTTCCATTTGCATTATGATTTCTCTATGAAAAAGAAACTATTTTGCTAGGCATTGCGTCTGATTTTATTTTACAATCAACCTTGTGTGTAAGCTTCTTCCCTTGAATAAAAAATTTGAAGCAAAGGAAAACTTAAATAGCAAATATGACTTTTTGACAGCACATATCCTAGTAATGAAATAATTATATAACTTTTAGATTTACATCTTCCACTAGATAAATCAAAACATTCTTATTCACTACTTTTTCACTAGATTCTGGACGAAATATCACATATTAGGTAATGCCTGTGTGTTGAAGTACAAACTAATTTATAACTATAGTATAGAACAAGAAAAAGTATTTGTTTACAAAATAAACTTCATAAATGAAAAATTTTGTATAAAGAATGGTGTTCAATAGGAGCCTGATAGCATTTGACAGTTCAAAACAGGGTAACAAAATAGGACCTAGCATCTAATTAAAGGTACCATCTTTAATTTCCTCAAATTTGCATACAGATGAGAATTGTGTACACCTACTTGTTCTTGACCATATATTTTCTTAAAAGTTATTAGTAAAGTGTTACTGTATCGAGGCAGAAAGCAGCAACTAATATAACCAAGATTTAATAGAAGGGAAAAATGAGAAAATGTAAAACTTGTTGTAATGATTGTATGGAAATGATGATGTAGACCTGGCAGGTTGTCTCAAATGGTACAAAAAGGAAAATTAGCTATGCTTAGCATAAAAGCTGTAACTTTAGGTTTAGTATTCTTAGAGTAATAAACATAGTGTTGGATATAAGTGTAGATATGCTCTGGGTTTTCAAAAGATTTTACTTATAGTTCTTATTAGTATTAAGCTTTTGTTTTAATGTGTGATAGCTAATTACCTGTTACCTACGCTGTATGGATTCCATTTACTGATTGGTAGCAGCATCCTTTAATGGAAATTTTCCAGACTGTGCATTCAGGTCATAGGAGCCCTTATATTCCTTTCATTGTGTATAGATGGCTGGTAATCATACTGGCGTACACTACATTTTTCTCCAAAGCAACCATGGGTTATTTCCAACTAGGATAATTTCAGCAAATAGTGCTGGTCAAAACACTTAGCAATGAAGTCGTATTGAGGAGACCTTAAAATATCTTCTGTAACTAAGACTAATTAGCAAGAACTCGCAATTTAGTAAAGTTTAAAAATAGCCAGATTCCATTCTTTATTACTGTTACTTAAATCCATTAATATATAATTGAGCAATTGAAATTGGGCAAATGAAAGTTTACCTGTGCTGCCTTTGCTATAAGTTCTCTAAATTGCACATGTTACCTGAATATTCTAGACATTTACAAATCTTATCTTTGCATATAAGGTCCTATCTAGAATATCCTTTCCCTGAAAGTAAATACCTTCTCAGAACCTACTCTAGCTGCCCCTCTGGCAAATCTTCCCCAACTCCACAAAGAAATTAGTCTCTCCTGCCCTACACTTGAATACACTGAGGGCAGTTTGTTTCTGTATATCCTATTGGATGAGCTACTTATATGCTATATTTTGTATTGCCTATTCCAGATTGAGTCCTCTGAGTTTAGGAATTCAGCAATTTACCTTTCACAGGAAAATTATAATAAAAGTTTGGTGAAAGATTAAGAAATGGTCAAAGGGAGTGTTGCCTCAGTTCTCTCTCTGATAAATGAGAACATTCATTGACCAAGTCAGTTTTCTATTATGAATTAAAAGATAGCAGTCTTAAAATGGCATACCAGGTAACTTAAATTCTATGATAAATGTAAGGAAAATCCAGAGAATTTTGATTATTTTTTTCCTCAT